CGCGGGAGAACACCCGAACAACCAAAGATCCACATACAAATACCCGCAAGAACCTCAGAAAACAAATATATATGTGTGTGTGTGTGTGTGTGTGTGTGTGTATGTATATATGTATATATGTATATAGTATATATATATATATATACATACACTATATTTTTAGATAGGTTTTAGACTAGGTTTTTATTTAATTATTTTAATTTTTAAATACTCTGTAGCGTGATTGTGATGTGGTGTTTGAGGGGCCCTGTCCTGGAGTAGCTTTCAAATTTTCTTGTATTTGTAGAATACAATGACAATAAAGGTATTCTATATGTATGTATGTATATATGTATGTGTGTGTGTATGTATATATAGAAAGATAGATATAGAGATAGATAGATAGATGATAGATAGATAGATAGATAGATAGATAGATAGATAGATAGATAGATAGATGTGTGTGTGTGTATGTACAGGAGAATGGAATAACCTGTGTCACAAATAAATGTATATAGAATTTGTTTTTAAAGGTGAAAATTTAATAAAATGTATATTTTTTTAAGAAAAGGGGCCAAGGTTGGAGACCCCTGACTTTGATACTGTTCCGAGAACTCCCTTAAGCACCAGGGGGCTTCGTGGGGGCGGGGGGAGCCCCCCCCCCGAATCCCTCGCCTGGGTGGGGGTCGGGGGTGTTCAAAGGGACCCAGCCGAAGAGCTCACCTTGCAGAGGGGGGAGGACCACCACGTGCCGGGAGAGCTGGACGTTGCAGGCCGTGCCACACTCCAGCGGGATGGGGCAGTGCTGGAAGTGGTGCAGCATGTCGAGGATGGAAGAGAAGTGGAGGTGCTGGACTCGGCACTGGCCCCGCTCCGTCAGGGAAAGCCGCAGGTGCTGCCGGAGAAGCCACAAGAGACATCAGCCCTTTGGGCCCCTCCCGAGGTCCTCCTGACCCACCAAGGAAGGAGCCCGTCACCCTCGCTAGCAATCCTGCTTTCTACTTCCCTCGCTTTCTAGGCCTCCATGAGGACTAGAAAGCTTTAAAATGCACTAAGATGGTTACAAGGATGAGATACATGAGGCCGAGTAGTTTTTAACATGAATGTAATCATAGCAAGAAAGATATATTAAACACAAAATATTTGCACAGGATATATGTACCCTGTTGACACCCTGTATAGTTGGAAGATGGCTTTGTTGTAAAATAAAATAAAAAATGTTTTTTTTTAAAAAAAAAGGACCAGAAAGCTTTGTCTCAGTGGCTCCGCATTGCGTCGCTAAGTGTCAGCCTTCAAGACTCCTTTCCTTTCTCTCGCTATCTTTTCGGCTGCCATAGTAATGGGGGGAGGGAGAATCAATTGGGCTTTGTGGGGCTGGGAAGTGTGCTGGAGGCTTTTGAGAATGAACTATATAACCAGTTGAATATATATATATACAGTTGATTATTTAATGGGTATTAGAATTATATAATGAGAATATTCTATTATGATTAAAGTAGGGGAATGGGAAATACAATGTGGATCCTAAATATATCAGCTTTATCTATATTTTTACTCTTTTTAGATTGTTTATTATATATCAGCGTAGAAAAAACTAAGGATAAGAATGAGGTGTAATGTAAAATAAAATAGGTGGTAAGCTGAAAATTGAAATAATAGGGAATAAAGATTTGAAAACTTATGTATGGATGAAATGATATTGATATTGAATTAATGAACTGAAATATGAAATGCAAATTTATTTAAAGACGAGTGAAATTGATAATGATAGGAGTAAATATTATATAAGATTAATGGAAATGAAAATAGGACTATGTACAAGTTTATAACCTGGAAACATGTTGCTCACGTGAAAAGATGCATAAAATTTAAAAGATAAAAAACTTGGGGGAAAAAAGAGAGAATAAACCGTATAACTTGGGAAAAGCTGTCGGCATCACCCCCACATGGGGGACGCCCCACATGGCATCAGGCACATCTTCGACTGGGTGGATGGTTGGAACTGTTGTGGGTGGGAACGTTGCCATCACTTTGTAGATGTGATTTCCGTGCGTAAATCCTCAGATCTAGAATCCTTTTCACGCCGCCACTTGATTTCCAGTACAAGTTTCTTTTCCAGATAACGAGGGAGTCTAAGGGGGTCTTTCTTGGATTTTCAGTGGAGCACCCTCTGACACTAAGTGAGACGTTGGCTAAGTGAGTTTTGTCCTGTTTGATCCCCTCTCTTGCCACAGTTCCTCAGCGAATCCCTGCGGTCATCACTGTAGTGACCCGGTCGTTAAGTGAACCTGGCTTCCTCATTGTCAGAAGATCGCAAAAGGGGATTGCACGACGCTGCAACCGTCGTATATATGAAACGATTCAAGCACCTGAAATTCTGATCACACGGCCTCCAAGGGTCGTAAGTGAGAAAAACCGGTCACAAGTCCTTTTTTTTCCCCTTCAGTCACTCAACAGTCACTAAGCAAACTGTTGCAAGTCAAGGACTGCCATGTGTTTCAGAACGAACGACGGTTGGGCCTGTCTCCTAAGCGGAATCGGCTCCAATCGTGGCCACTTTAGGCCTGGCGGACTTCCCATCCCAGAATCCAAAGCTGGCGGGGGAATTCTGGGAGTTGAAGTCCTCCAGGCTCACCTGGGGTGGATCTACGCTCCCGCCTTGCGGAGGGGGGGCGGAAGGGAAGCGCGCCCTGCTCACCTTGGCTTTGCCTTGGAAGTTGAAGGTCAGCACGTACTCCCCCCGTCGCGTCTCGCTCTGCCGGATGAGGAAGACGCCGTGTCCTTCCAGGCCTTGCAACTGGACCAGCTGGGCGGCCTTGACCCGCGAGATGGGGCCGTGGAACCAGGGGAAGGCGGACAAGTAGTGGTCGATTCTCTGGGCCGGCGGCTCGGTGGGCCTGGAGAGCAAGGCCCCTGGGGGTGGCGGGGGGGAGAGAAAGGGGGGCCTTTAGTAGGGGCACAAGAGGTGGAAGGCATTCAATCGCTGCCTCCTCTTAACCTTGGGACCTAGAAGCTCTGTGGACTTCAATTCCCAGAATTCCCCAGCCAAGCGTGGCTGGCTGGGGAATCCTGGGAGTTGTAGTCCACACAGCTGCTAGTTCCTGAGGCTGAGAACCCCGAGATTTTTGGATTTCAGGCCGTTAATCGAGAGAGATCCCACCAGCTGGCGGGGAAAGAGACCCCACACCCCCATTTAATCCTCCGTCACCCGAAGGAGCAGAATGAAACTCACCCAAGGAAGCCTTCAGACCCAGCCAAGCCTCTTTCCTGGGCCCCTCCTAGCCTCCTGCCCCCTCCTCCCCCCGCCCCCTCTCCCACCCCGCCCACGCCATTGTCCCCTCCCCCCGTGGCCACCAGGCACCTGGGTGCAGGCAGTCGGCGCTGCTGTTGGCAGGGCTGGGAGGGCCGGCCTCTGACGGAGGGTCTGGGGTCCCCTCCAGGGTGCCTCCTCCTTCCAGCCTGAAAGACAAAAGAGACGGCAGGTGAGGAACAAGGAGGACAGGAGGAGGAGGGCCGGGTTTCATAGCAGCTGAGAATCCTGGCTTCTCCCCCCCCCCCCCCGGGGCGGAAGCAGGTTTAAAGGTGGCTTCTATCCACCTTTGCTGGGCTCTGGAGGCCCAGGTGCCTCGCTGCGCGATCCAAGTCAAGGAGAAAGGTGGATGCTCCCCTGGGGAACCGCCGAAGGCAGGCGAGCAAAGTCCTTAAGCCAGGTGAACCCTGGATGCTCTCTGACCTTGGTGGCTTTCTGGCAAACATCTCACTGGCCAACTAGGGAACATCATCAGTGCTAGGAGGAAGAGGGATTTGCAGAGGGGAGGAGGGGCAGGGAGGAAGAGGAGGATTATGGGGTCTTTGGTGCTCTCTGAGTCTGGTTGTGTTCTTGCAAATGTTTCATTACCAACCTAGCTGACATAGTCGGTGCCAGATTGGAGTGGGGTTTGTGGGCTGGAGGGAGGAGGAGGAGGAGGAGGAAGAGGAGGAGGAGGAGGAGGAAGAGGACTGTGGGGCCCTTGATGCTCTCTGAGCTTGGTGGTTTTCTTGCAGACGTTTCATGACTCAACTGGGTAACGCTATCAGTGCCGACCAAAACTCCAGGGAGCACCAGGGACCCCACAAGCTACAGCCGCTTCCTCCCGTCCCTCCGGCAGCCCCGTTTCTTAACCTCGGCCGCGTTGAGAAATCAGGACTTCCACTCCCAGCCACAAAACGAAGCCCCAGCGCCCGCAAGCGCCTCCCTTGAACGAAAGATGAAAGAATCGATGGGGTTTCTTCCTCCAAGACTCCCCCCCCCGTTCCAAAGGTCGCCCCCCAACCTTTGGCTCCTGCCCCCCCCCCCAAACCTGCATTTTTCAAAGCGGCAGAGGCCGAGCACGACTCACCTGGGGAGGCTCTGCTGAATCTCCGCCACCCAAGCGGCCAGTTGCTGCTCATCTCCAGCCTGGAATATCACTTCGGTGGACGCGTTGACCTGTTTGGGGAGGAGGGAAGAGGCATGCACCCTCTCCAGACAAAATGGGGGGTGGGGGGGAATGACTTCTTGGGGGAGGGGGGGTCTCCTCTAATCCCAGAAGCCCACCTAGGAAGGTCCCAGAGCGCCAGTTGGGGAGGTAGACCAGGCCTCCCTGCTTGCTCCAGAGGCAGCCCGTGGGGGGTGGGGGTGGGGGTGGAGGAAGCGTCTCACCTTGACCACAAAGGTGTGCAGGTGGTCGGGCATCTCCAGCCGAGTGCAGGCCCGGCTCTCCTGGATGGCCACGCAAGGGGAACGCAGTTTCGGCCTTGAGCTCTGCCGAAAGAGGAGGACGAGCCAGAGTGAGACACGGTTCCTTTTTCGGGGTGGCTGGGTTGCGGACTTCAACTCCCCTGAATTGCACAGCGCCAAGGACGCCATGAGGGGGTCAGGAGGGAACGCCGAGGGAGTAGGAATCCAGCCGTGCCGTGGATTTTCCAGACACAGCCATCCATCCTGTGTGTGTGTGTGTGTGTGTGTGTGTGTGTGTGTGCGCACGCACGTGTGTTTCTGCAGGGAAGAGTCCTGGCACGCTGTCCGGGCATTGATACCCTCCTTGTCTCCCTTTCTCCCTCCCTCCCTCTCTCTCCCTCCCCCCCCCTCTCTCTCTCTCTCTCTCACACACACACACACACACACATGGGCTGCATCCTGGCACACCCTCGTCTGGGCAAGGCAGCAGCCTTTCCTCGGAGTTCAACTTCATGTCAAAACTGCAGGGAACTTTTTTTGGATTCCAACGTCTGCACGAAATCCCTCAGGGAGGGAGGGGCCAAATCCTGGCTGCTTCCCTCCCCTTCCCCCCCCCACCAGAAGAGGAGGGAAGACCCTCGTCTTGCTCCCCAAAAGGAGAGCGAGCGGAGGGAGAGCGAAGGGCCATCGGGAAGCCCAGAGCTGGACAAATCGCTCTTGAGCAACGACGACGTCCGGCATCAAATTCCTTCCTGAGCCTTTCGGTCAACACCACGTTCTCCAGGACGAAACGCCCCTCAGGTGGATAAAAGCAGCTTCTAAGCTCTCTTTTCTCAGGTCTCCTGCTCTTGTTTGCTCACCTGTCGTGGCCTCTGCCTAAGACAAGCTTCAGAACTGGGAGGGCTGAACTGGTAAAGCTGGGGCAGGCTGGGAATCGGAGCAGTAACGCCGCTTGACCGTATCCGGGAGATTCCCGGGACATCCAGCCCAGAGGGCACCTGAGGCCAAACCCCAAATCCCTGTCCCACCAACAGCCCCTCGGGCCTGCCTCGGTTTCCCCTTTGGGAATCCAGCCCCTGGCACTGTTGCATTCGCACCGGAAAACCCACCGTGCTCCAAACCAAAAATGGCTAAAATAAATCTATGAGTAACGCGTCGGATCCGGTTGTTTTAATTCTCGGCTTTTGGGACACTCAGCCATGCCGGGTGGGAGCAGCCAAGTTCCTCCTTTAAGGGGAAGAGGACGGGGGGGGGGGGTCTCTCCAAATATCCCATTCCACCCCCATCTCTCCGGGTCTCAGCCACGTCTGCTCTCTCGTCTGGGTCAGGCAATGTCCGTTCTGGGTTTCGCCGCCTCCTGGGGTTTGTGGGCCCATGAGTCACAGCCGGTTTGCAGTTTGGAGCCAACTGTGAGAACAGCTGGGGGGGAAATGGATGGGGGGGGGTCCAGATTGCTCATGCATGGCGGGGGGGGGGAAACAGCGTCCGTGTGGGAGTCGAGGAATGCCTCTTCCCGTTTGCAACTTCCATTCCCTCGCGGTTTGTTTCTCTTTGTTGGCGTCCAACAGGTTTGGCAAATTTTCTTGCTGGAAAATCTGGTCTGAAAAATGTCTTTTATCGTGAAGGGGAATCCAAACAGGATGAGGCCATATTTAGGGATCCTGGTTGGGAAGCCCAGCAGACAAACCAAGCAGGCCCGGAAGAACACGCCTTCCCAGGGTCCCTGCAAAAAGCTTGCAGGAAGGTGCACCTGAATACAGGGACCGCCCAAACGTTTGGATTTGGTTTGAATCCCTGCAAGTAGAAAACGCGTGCCTCAGGGAAGAAATGGCTCTTCCCCCGGTGCTCTTTTCCTTATGCACTTTTTTCTATGTGCAAGTGAAGAGCTGGGTTCATTCAGAGGTCTATTGTGCCCCCCTCCTCAGCCCCTAAACATTTGGGAGTGGGTGTACTGCCCACTTTACGTGTTACTTAAAAAATAGGGAACGGAGCCCTCAAGTAGAAAAGGAGGGTGGGGATTTTCACAGGGCCCCATAAGGAAGAACCAGGCACTTCTGCAGACGCCAAACGGAATCCCGAGCCACAAAAAGCCCCCGAAAAGACGAGAGCCGCCGTGTTTGGTTGCGAGAGATAAAGAGGCCGGCCTGCAGCCTTAACAGATGCCCTGCCAAAGAGAACAGAGCGTCCTTTGGGTGCACAAACATCCCAAAACACCAGACGGAGGAGAAGGAGGAGGAGGAGAGGGAGAGGAAGGAGGAGGAAGGAGGAAGAAAGAGAAGAAGAAGAAGAAGAAGAAGAAGAAGAAGAAGAAGAAGAAGAAGAAGGAGAAAAGGCCAAAGCTGATAAATAAAACCTCCTCCAGGGTCCAACGTCTGGGACTCCCTCGCCCCCCACCCCCCTCTGCCAGCCCCACCTCCAGCCAGAAGCCTTGCAGACCCCCTGCTCCCCAGTGGAAGGAGGGACCCTCAGAGAGACCGTCCAAAGGCCACCACCCCTGCACCGAGACCACATCCAACGTCCGAGCGTCAACGGCACAGGAAACAGGATGTCCGAGAAGCCAAAAATGCTCTCCAGTTTACTCTGGGGACCCGAAGGAAATTTGCAGCGAGGGGTTGTTTTCCAGGCCGGCTCACAAGAATTTCTATGCATTTTCTTGGAAAACAGAATTGGACCGGGCCTCCTTTAACCCAGAGCTCTCCAACCTTGGCCCCTTTAAGGCTTGTGGACTGCAACTCCCAGCATTCCCCAGCCAGAACTGTGGACTGCAACTCCCAAGCTGGCTGAGGAATTCTGGGAGTTGCAGTCCACAAGTCTTAAAGGGGCCAAAGTTGGGGACACCCGAGATAGTTGCCAGTTACGCTCCTAAAGCAAGGCGGGGTGTCAGGACCACAACACCCACCGTTCCAGCTCGTCACGAGAGCCAGGCGTTTCCACAGCTGCAACAGTGGCGGAGATTATGGTGCAGGATCCAATCTGGGCCGGTTACCGGAACCAGAGATTTCACCTTCTGGACTCGTGCTGGATCCCATCATCCAAGAACTACTCTCTCTTTCTCTCTCACCCCACAAAATGGAGACGTCCGAAAACTCGGAAGAATAAACCTCCCAATCCCGCTGACCGACTCAGATTGGATCCTGCAGCTGTACTGCCTTCGTCCATGAAGATTATTATGGCCGTCCTTTGCAAGAACTCTGGCCAGCATCGGAGACCATCTCCCCGGCCGACAGTTGAGGAGGAATCGCCATGGCTGACCAAAGAGACAGAGAGGAAGATGCTCTGCGGGCCAGAAGCCAAATTCAATTTCCGGGACCTCCAAGGAGGATTGAGGACGATTTGTCTGGAATCCTGGAATTCGAAATACTTCTGGGAAAAGCTCTCCCAGGTCTCCCTGGTCACCAATTTTTCATTCAGAAGTTGGCCCAGGGTTCATAACCAAGACGGCAGGAGAACCAGGGGACCAAGAGAAGCGAAGAGGAGATTTTTATCAGCTGATGTGCCTCGTTTCCCCAAAGAAAGGCAGTTTCCAGCAAACCTAGTCTGAACAGAGAACACCACAAACCAGCATTGGAAAGGACCCTAAAGAGCAGCGGCTGATCAAAGGTAAAGGTTCCCTTCCTTGCACCTGCGTGCTAGTCGTTTCCGGCTCTAGGGGGCGCTGCTCATCTCCGTCACAAAACCGAAGAAGAGCCAACGCTGTCCGAAGACGTCTCCGTGGTCACGTGGCCGGCAGGACTAAACGCCTTCGAAGGCGCACGAAACGCGGTTCCCTTACCACCAAAGAGGTCCCGATTTTCCTACTTGCATTTTTTTTACATGCTTTCGAACTGCTCAGTTGGCAGAAGCTGGGACGAGTGACAGGAGCTCACTCCGTGACGCAGCGCTGGGGATTCGAACTGCCGACTTTTCTGATCGACACGCTCAGCGTCTTAGCCCCTGAGCCCCCGATCAAAGTCGGAGCCGGCCTTTTCTCTGGGAGCAACACCATAACCCCACAAGCATCCTGGGTGATTTGAAGTCCAACATCCCCCTGGGGGGATTCGTGGTCCTACGGAGATTTTCTCTTGGGTTTTCCTGGCCTACGTCCAACCCACCCCCCTGGACAAGCTCCGACATAAGCCGAGGACGGCACCTACAGCCGTGCCTTCCTTTCAAACTCCTGCACGCCAGACGGGGACCGGCGAGGGAACGACAACGAGCCCCCTGCCCTCCGTTTGTTCGCAAGAGCCGCCCCGTTGCCAAATCAGTGCCGCTTAGGGAGTTACCGAGGGTGCACACCCAGCCTTGCCCCGAATGGGCCCAGGAAGCAGGCAAGTTGGAGTTCTCGGCATTGCACTGCACTGCGTGTCACCTCAGAAACCACTTTCAGCCACGTGCGTCCTTGGGAGGGAAGGAAAGGAACTAATTCGAAGAAACGGCAATTCAGAGAAAGAAGAACCTCCAGGCCCTCAGAAGTGGAAACGGGGCCGAGAGCGAGCGAGCGAGCGAGAGAGGCTCGTGAAACGCTTGCAAAGAACGAAAGTGGCGCTAAGAAGCGTATGGGCACGCTTTCTCCAGGAATCTGAAGGATGCCGTGAGTTTCAGAGGCTCTGGGTGGCCCAGGAGCCCTTTGCAAGCGATGGGTAGCTCGTAGGCCCACAGCATGGCCCCAGTTCCTACTTTAGGAGTCGTACGCCAAGTTTCTAGTCCTCTCTGCTTGGTCCTGGAGCCTCTGAAGCCGAGGCAAAGGTGGTAGGTAGCTGAGCTAATGCTACTTATTCGACCCAGATCGATGCAAAGCGTGGGAATTTTATTTGCACAACGGAGAAAGCTTGCTTGGTGTTAACTATGGTTAGAAGATTTTTTTTTTTTAAATTACTTTATTCAGCCCATTCAGAGGTCCAGGCACTGACAGGTGCCAAAACCAAAACTCAGGTGCTATGAACAAACAGGACCCACCCCTGATTAAGCCACGTCACTGATGTTTTGGAAGAAGATCCGAAAAGAAATCCAGTGCCTTTCTGAAATTCCTTCCATGGGCCTTGACTCACCGAATGACACAGTTGGAAAGGGACCTTGGAGGTCTTGTAGTCCAACCGACTGCTTAA